CCTTTTTAAATGACAGCAAATATTTAATACATATTCTGTATATTTATGCTTTAAAGCAGAATTAAACAGTGTTTGTGCCCAGTGGTGTAAAGTAACAAATTACAAATACTCAAATTACTGTAATTGACTAGTTTTCTCTCAGGAATTGTAATTTACTAAGTAGTTTTAAAGATGTGTACTTTTACTTTCCCTTGAGTAAATTTTTAGTGTTGTATTTGTACTTTTACTCCACTACTTTTCTGCAACCTGCAGTCTGGACTTTATTATTTTCTGTCTATGGGGATTATAAAAATCAGTCTTGCGATTCCTGTTCAATCAAATTGTACATAAAAAGTAAAGTAACTACCTTAAGACATGCAGCAAACTGTTTGGGAGCATTAAAAGTGTCCGAGAAGATACTTTACACACAATGACCCAGAGACTGTGTAGACCAGGGATGCCCAAACTCGGTCCTGGAGGGCCAGTGTCCTGCAGAGTTTAGCTATAACTTACCTCAACATACCTGCCATGATGTTTCCAGCATATCTAGTAAGAGATTGATTAGATTTTTACTTTATGATGACTAAAATGACCTTAAAAAATAACTAAATGCACTACAGAATGTTAGGTTTACACACACACATGCACACATTTCATGTAAATGCATCAACAGCGTAATACTTACTATTATTGAGTAGTTTTAAAGTGTTACTTTTTACTCATACCTTGAGTAATATTTACAACAGACACTTTTACTACATTTATGGACAAGTAATGGTACTTTTACTTGAGTACGCTTTTTCAGTACTCTTTCCACCACTGATTGTACCACATGGATTGTTTATCTGTTCAAATATACTGCAAGATTTGCACCTAACAGCAGTTCAGCATGAGTTTGTTTACATGTGTATCGATCTTGAAACCCACGCAAACACGAGGAGAACATGCAAACTCCACACAGAAATACCAACTGGCGCAGCCAGGACTCGAACCAGTGACCTTCTTGCTGTGAGGCAACAGTGCCAACCACTGAGCCACATTGCTGCCCAAAATATCATCAATTTACAGTTTTGTAAAATTGATCAGGGCGAGGCAGTGGTGCAGTAGGTAGTGCTGCTGCCTCACAGCAAGAAGGTTGCTGGGTTGCAGGTTTGAACCTCGGCTCAGTTGGCGTTTCTGTGTGGAGTTTGCATGTTCTCACTGCCTTCGTGTGGGTTTCCTCCGGGTGCTCCGGTTTCCCCCACAGTCCAAAGACATGCGGTACAGGTGAATTGGGTAGGCTAAATTGTCCGTAGTGTGTGAATGTGTGTGTGGATGTTTCCCAGAGATGGGTTGCGGCTGGAAGGGCATCTGGATGAGTTGCAAAAACTTGCTGGATAAGTTGGCGGTTATACCACTTTGGCGACCCTGGATTAATAAAGGCACTAAGCCGACAAGAAAATGAATGAATGAGTGAATGAATGAAATTGATCAAATTTTTATATTTTCTTAAAGATCAATCAAAAATAGATTTGTCTTGAAAAATATTTTAATTTCAGTTCAGTGAATCTAGAGCAGTGGTTCCCAATCTTTTTTTGCCTGAGACCCCCTTTTCCCCTGGAAAATATTGCATGGCCCCCCTCCATGTTTATTGATATTATCGCTCATAAATGTTTGCAGTAAGGATAACAAAGAATTTTGTTTTCAAACAAACTGTATGTTTATTACTATAAATCTAGATATGTTTATACACAAACAGCCTAATGTAAAATATAAAAGCAAAACATCAGCAGGCCATTTGTAAATGAAAACGTAAGCCTTTGGCCTTTAAATTGGCCCTATTTAAAATTCAAATATCAAATAAATTCAAATATATTTAAAATAAAAAATATCAGTTTTCAGACTGGTGTATAAGGAAAAAATAATATAGTCTACTACAATTTAATACTAGCATGTTATTTGTTATGCTTTATCAATTAGTGTGAGAATTGCTGCTGGTAGTGAGTAATAATTTGGTCAATACATGGAGAGATCTTTGACAGGGAATCCTCAAGTCGAGCACAAAGCTGATTCCTCACATCTTCTAACATTGTTGCAATGCGCCATTTTAATTGATGCCAATTTAATTGACCGTATTAATTGATAACAGTCTCTTAGCTAGTTGTTTTGATTTATCCTCTCCAAATAATTCCTGGACAATCGCTGTTGTGCATGGCAAAATCAAAGTTTCTGCAATGGTATGCCCTTTCTTTGCTATTTTTAAAAACTTTTTTGTCAGTAGCTGTGACATCCGGTGTGTCAATTCTTTTGCCTTGCGCTCAAAAAAATGCTCTGGGCTTGTTACGGTATTGGGTATGAGTTGTCTGCAAATATCTTATTAATTAGGATGACCTCATGCGTTCATTAGCAAGCATAGATATATACATTAGAAGTCGCCTACCCTGTTGTTGTCTATTGGAAGGAATGCGTCAATAGAGCCGCCATTTTGAAACAGGATAGCACTCCTTTGAAATGAATTCGGGACCAAGGTACAGTGGACGACTGTGGCCATCCAAAGCCAGAGATATACACATATACAAATATATCTATGATCGTGAGTTTTCCTGGATGGTAGTTTGCAAATTTTTTCAAATTACATTATAAAAAAAAATTATAATTTTTCATCACTTTTCCACATTGATGGATCAGTGATCGCACTGGCATTCCTGACAAAAAGCTTGTGTTTTTGTGTACAGAAATGTACTATCCACCCTCCTTGTTAAATGTGATCTAATCCGTCTCCTAAAACAAATCTCCACTCCTGCTTTCACTTCTCATACCATACTGATGGAGGGAGCGATTCGTTTGTGAATGAATCTCCGTTATGAAAGACTCCTTCACTTAGCCGACAATAATACAAGTTTTTGGCATCGCAGCATCTCGTTGTCATATTTCTTTTGCATTGTTTGCTGATTTTATTCAACAAAACTAGCATAAGCCGAGTATTTAGTGCTAGTTGGAGCTACTTTGGCTTATAGTGAATGCAACAAGTGACTGTATTATCATCAATAACGTTACCTGTTTAGCACAAAAGTTCAGAACATACAAAAACGTAAAAAACTTAATCTTACCTATAAAATGTTCTGCCTTTGTGCTTTGTTTTCTTTGTTTTCTCATTACTACACCCGTAGACAGCGCTAAAGTCCCGCATCTTCACGTAATAACACTGTCTTGATTAGTGCGGTTGAATGACATTTGTCTTGGGAGCACTGTACTAATGTGGCGGCGCTTTTGACGCATGCTCAGGGTCCCTATGCAATATATAGTGTATATATCTATGATTAGCAAAAACTTTGGCGCAGAAAAAGCACTGTAACAGGATCAAGAACCCTTTGCTTTGAGAAAGTGGAATTCAGCGAACTATCTCTGTATTTCCAGCCTGATCTCACGAGGAAACGTAAGTATTTTACGTTTTGTTAGTTCAGTGGCTAATTCGTACGAATTTGTACGAGTTCGGTCGTACGAAAATGTACGATTGAAAAAAAGGAGGCGTGGCACCTAACCCCACCCCTAACCCCAACCGTCATTGGGTGATGAGAAAATCGTACTAAATTGTACGAATTAGATCATACGAATTCATATGAATTAGCCACTAAATCAAAAAGTTACGAATTGCCGTGAGATTATGTTGGTATTTCATGTTTCCAGTATTGCTAGCGCTGTGACCAGAAATATTTGGAGCCTCCTCACTTGGGTCCAGTATTATGCTTGGGTCATTAATATTAGCTGCTTAAGACAAATCAGTGAGATTTTGTCATAGTACTTTTACTTGAGTAGGGTTTATCACTACTCTTTCCACCACTGGTGGGGACCTTAATTTGACACTCGCGTAAAATTTAAATTTAACTCCACATTTAAAATGTAAAGTTAAAGGAATGTCTTACAAAAAGGTTCTTTAATAAAGACTTCCATTTACTGAGGGCTCATTTGTGCTTAATCACTTACCAACACATCTGAACACATTTTTGCAAGTAATATTGCCATTAGTGCACTTTAAGCTAAAAAATGCATTTACGTGTCCATGTTCTTTTCCTTCTCTGAGAGTGCAAACAAAACAGCCCATGTTCTATTTCACACTTTAAAAAAACTTTAATAAATAAATAAATCAAATACAATTAGTAATTAAAACAACGTTAAATCAACCATGCCTTATGGTGAAAAAGTTAATTTACATGATTTTACTTTGACAAGGAATGAATGCAGTTTTCTGGAAAGGGGGAGGCATTTAACACGATAATCATTTTATCTCGATTGTTGTTTTTTCATAATCGTTGTGGAGGCCAAAATCTAAACAATATTTTAATTAATTGATCACCCATGATTACTATTATGGTGGACTTCTAGTGAGCTTGATTTCAAGTGACTGACACTTTTCTTTGAAATGTAGCTGCTTCCATGCTTCATTTAAGTCTTGCTTAGTACTTGGGATTTTTTTGGGTGCACTATCCCTTTAACAAGTGTCTCATAGTTAGAAATGAACTAGAGTGTGTGTCAGAAATCACTTTAAAATTAAAAACTCCCTACAAATTCAAGATTATAGCTTCGACACAAACAAAATTGGTTTTGACTATCATGGGTAGAGTGAAAATGAATAAAAATGTCATTTAACAAGATTACAGATCTTTACTAACTTATATTTTTATTTATCACTTAGTTTAGTTGTCAAATAATTTACTAATGTTTGCTATTTTCACTTGTTTTTTTATTAATTTTTCCTATCTTAGCTTATTTTAGATTTGGTTTGGAAATTGAACTGTACTAACAACATTATTAAATCCCAACCAAAATACAAAGGTTTTGAGTTGTGATGAACTTATGAGGTGTGTGATTTATTATTTGAAGCGGTCATATATAAAAGCATATAGGCCTTGAAACAGACAGCCAGTAACATGTGCAGGCAGTCTTTTTGGAGGGCCAATTGTGTTAGTGAGTGTGTTTGGCTATAACCGAGTCTCCATATGAGGTCTAAAAGAGGGTGTGTGTACAGCAGCACTAAAAATACCCAAGAGGCTGTGCATATATCGTGTTGCAGCTAAACCTGTGAGAAGTGCTACATGTTGAAAAAACCCTTCACTTTTCTTTTGCAGTTTGATTTGCAAAAGCTAGAATCCCAAAAAGATGGCAGAAGCCAGTGTAGATGGAGCCAAAATGACAGGTATAGTCTGTTATGGTCAGACATGGCATGTTTTGCTGCTGTGGTGTGGGTAAAATCTTAAACATTAGACTGTATCAGTGTTGTTTCATATCGGGTTGTTGAACCAAGTGTTGGTGTGAGCATGAAGTTTAAAGTTCAAGTCTTGGTGTGTTTGTATGTTGCATACTATTGTAAAGAATGACTGTTATGATGTTTGTATGTAACTTCTGACAACTTTTTTTGTGATAAAGTTAAATATAAATAAATAATCAGTTTGTTTGGACTGACTAATCATTGTCTTATTACTAATTACACTGGCCATGTCATCTTTATGACGTCATATGTAGCCACTCTTCATTTATAGGCTTAATATGATCGTGATTTTATGTGCATGTAACTTACAGATGACCTTGGCAGTCTAGAGTAATGCAATCTGTAATGTGATATTTTTGTTATTTTTCTAACTCTTTGTTATCTGCTTCTGTAAGTAGACTATTTCCTTTGGCTTTTCCATGAAAATGTTAAGGTGTTACAGGTACATTAAAGGAGTTAGAAGATCTAGTATTACCCATTTTTAAAACTGATTTCAACATAACACAAACAGGATATTAGCACCAAATGTCAATATAAAAGAATTAATTTAATCAATAATGAAAATTGTGTTTCATTTAATCATTATTTTAATCGATAGAAAAAAACAACTACTTTATAAATTTCAATCTAAAAAATGATATAATCATATATGGTCAAGTATGATAAAATATTACCATTAATTTAATCTCATTATTTGATTTTCTTTTATAATTAAACATTAAATACAATCTATCTGTACTGAGTAGTGGTGACTGACCTGCACTTTTTAAAAAGGATGCGTTAAAGAAAACACAACCTGTATTTTTTCTTTACCCTTGTGTGATGTTCAGGATGTTTTTATCCATTCTGCGGTGAATAAGTCTTAATTTGGCCATCACTTTCTCTCTTACAGCAAATGGAATTAAAGGTGCAGTAGGTGATTGTCTTCAGAAACATTTTTTGTTGTGCTGGTTGAAAGTCTTTTCACATTCCAATAGTACTGATTAAAGTAAATGATCTAAATGTATTTTTATATTCTGGGTAAGGCATAAGACTAAAAAATGTTTGTCCAATTAAAATGTCGGGCCAATAATTCCCATAATTCTGATACGGAGCTTAAACTGTCTGTCAGCAAATGCAAATTTGAGCTACTGCGCACCTGTTTGTACGCATGCTCTGCCGTGCTGCGCGTTCACGAGAGTGATAGAGAGCGAGAGCGAGCGGTAAAAACATGCTGGATCGAAACTTGAAAAAAAATTCTGAATCAATATTGGAGTTACGTTTGCATGCTGGAGGAAGGAAGACACGTATTTCTCTTAGACAGGTAATGTTCTGTTTTGAAACTATTTTTGTCACGCAGAGCTGATGTAGATTGGGCTGTTATGAATGGGTTATAGGCTCTGAAGTGTTGTTCAGCCACTGAAATCTTCTGGTGAAAGATTGATGGGACTTTTCAGTTTCAAAAGGACCTTTTACTGCATCGACAATGTAGATTTTTATTTAGTTTAACAACAAAACATAAGTCAACAGTGCTATTCCGCCTAGCCTACTTTACTGAGCTTAAGAGTGTTTTATATTTATATCGGTTCATTTCTGAACAGTGACAACCTGTGACGCGCTCCCTATGGTGTTTACCGCTACTCTGATTTTTCGGTCAGAAATAGCATGCAAGTATGGCTTAGAGTGTAATAATGAGTAATTCCTGCATGATGAAGGCCAAGCTTTAGCTCAACACATGAGAGAGGGTTCTGCTGTCATGCGGTACGTGCGCTTGTGTTTTCAGGAGGTGTGGCTTTGGACGACAGGGGAGGGACAGTGTTTCAGAGATTTATGCTAACAGGCTAGCATTGTGGCAGATCACCTACTGCACCTTTAACCTTATTTTGACACATATTTAGGAAAAGTTATTTGAAAGTTTACAAAACCTTAATAATTAACTCTAGGCAAATTTACTACCCTTTCATTATGATCGTGGCTGTTTTTGCCCCAATGACTTGATGACACTATATAAATATGCATTCTTGATTGTTGGTGGTTTTTCCTGTTGGGAAGAGGTAGAACTTGTATGTTTTAGTGTTAAATTACTTTTACTGTTTAAATTTGAACTCAATGTTGAACACATTCATATGTTGAGGACAACACATTTTCTGTTAGTTGTAACACAAATGTGTTAAAATGATAAAATACTTCAATTTCACTAGAACTCGAAAGTTGTGAGCATGTTCAGTTACACTAAACTGGTACTCAAAACAGTTAAAATAAAACCCAACTTGTGTTACACACCTGTAATGCGTGTTAGATTAAGAACAACACATGTTGTGTAACTTTTAACACATGCAAATCGATGAGTTGAAATTAACCCAACCTGTGTTACACTCAGGCATGGGAAGATAACCGGTTAGCGCGGTTTACAAAAGTCAAGGTTTTAAAACTGCAAATATTTTCTGTTGTATCGTTTCTACAATATATATGAAAGTTTCTGTGGTTTTGTGTGTTTTACTACAAATTTATTTAATTTTTATAAAAAGACTTTTAAAAAATAACATATTTTAGAACAACATTTTTATAACATATTTTAGAATAACTTATTTTAGTAATTACAACACTGTGATACTGTGGAAACTGTTTGAAACTGACAAAATCTTATACCGGCCCATGCCTAGTTGCATTACATTTAACACACCTGTGATGCATGTTAGATTAGGGACAGCACATGTTGTGCAACTTTTCGCACTGACACAGACAGTATGATAAGATTATAATTTAGGTGAAATTGAAAAGTTCTGAGCATGTGTAGTAGCCAAAGGCTAATGCACACAATGAACCTTGCTTTTCTTTTCCTTTTTTTCAGGTGGGGGCTATTTTTACTACTGGATTAATATAAAACGTGTTGCACAGCTTTACGTATCAATTGAAAGAGATCAACATTTTGATATGTAAAAATTAAAACAAATAAAAGCAGGAGGACTGGCTAGTATTTTGAAAAAAACGGGAAACTTTTGCAAATAGCGTGTCAATTTTATGTTTAGCGAAGTCATTTTATGTAGAGTTCATGATTTTATTATAGCTGAAACAAAAAAAGTCCACCATGGATCTACTATGAAATATAACATACCTGGTAACAGTTATATGAATTTTTTGGACCTTATCTATTGTAAATAATATATAAAAATGTGAAAATATAGTAACATAGTAACATATAATATATGTTTAATAAAAAAATAAAAAAATAAAAAAATAATAAAAATTAATGAAATCCCTGCTTTTTTCTGTGCGATCAAAAATATTATTAATTTGCAATTTGGTAGTTGGCAGCAGAAGTAATATTACTTACAGTGGCATATGCGAAGTTTTATAGAACAGAAAAAAGTTAAATATAGGCTACTTCTATAAAAAAAAAGTTAAAAATATGAATACAAGTATGGTCTATATATTAGTTATGGTCTGTTTATAAAAAGTAACGCTATTTAAATAGTTAAAGCTATCAATGTATTTTTAGCAACCCCTCCAAATTTTTAAGCCCCCCTCCCCTTTGCACCCCCATCAACCCCCCTTAAAAAAAAGAATAAATAAAATAAATCCACTGTTGCCAGTTATTCTAAACTTGACTATACACACTTCTGCTGGAAGGTTCTGGCTGTGAATTCAAGTTTATGAGTTCATTATGTATTGAGAAGATTTGGTTTACTCTCCAGACCACAACAGTGTGATCTTTCTATTAAAATGATGGTCCATCAAAAATTTTTAATTTGCAGTTAATTTTACCCACTTTCAGGCCATTGAAGATGTACAGTAGCTGACTTTCTTTATTAGAAGATTTTTAGCTGAATCCATGGTTCTTGGTGGTTCATATAATATCAGTCAATTGATTTGGAATTATTTGTACATCATGTGTTTGTGACAAGGCCCACAGATTCAGATGAAAAATAGTCACCTACTATATTACTTTAATGGCCTGAGCGTGAGTACATTAACTGTATATTAGAATTTTTGAGTGAACTATCTGTTTAAATACTTTGTAACAATCTGCTCCTTCAATGGCAGCCTGCGCATCTGTTATCAGAGGTCAACCAGTAATCAGTAGGCCCACACAGAATCTGCACTCACATTGATTTTTAGCCCATCATTAAGTCTGTTTATTTACGCGTATAAATGTGTGTCCATTTTATTCATTTCTGTAATCATTTTCATTAATATTATTGACTAATATAAAAAGGTTTGTATGATTTGTTTACAATAGAGTTAGTAAAGTAATATTTTCTGTCTTTTAGTAGATATATTATATGAGAGACTGGCTTTGTTTACCAATTAAGTGGATATAATTGGATGTGCATTGTAAACATTTTAAAAAAAGTTAAAAAGGTATTATTTTTTATTTCATACATCAAGATTTTAGTTGTGTATATATACTCCAGAAAATATATTTGCATAAATCCACAGATTGTTTTACAAAATTATTTGCAGAAATGGCACAAAAAGTCTGTAGATTTTGTCTGGCCAGTTTTGAATACTATCACCACTGACAGGATTGTCTGTCTGATTTTCTTAGATTTTCATTGCATGTTCATATTTAAAGTGGAATGATGCCTTTAAGACAGGCACAGAAGTTTTGAGTGTACAGCACATCAACAAAACACATAGTAATTGTGTGTGTGTGTGTGTGTGTGTGTGTGTCTGTGTGTGTGTGTGTGTGTGTGTTTGTTTGTTTGTTTGTTTCAGAGTCTCCAGTTGAAAATACAACTGTTAGAAGTGAAAATAAGACACAGGGCAACTCCTTCTTCAGCTGGATCTTGGTGCTGGGTCTGCTGGGGGCTTGGTTGTCTGTTGGTGTCGTGTGGTTTGACATTGTTGACTACAACAGTGTGGCTGGTAAGTACATCTAAAATCACATTTGCAGGGATGCAGACTTTTAATCAGTGTGTTAATTAAATTAGGACGTAAATAATGGTGAGCATATTTTGTGCATCTTCTTTGTTACTTAAAACATCCAATGAAATGGTAGGACTAGTTTGTTGTGAAGGCACAGGGTAAAAGACACCCAACAAAAAATGAATTGTATTTTCAAACCAGGAGGAATGCATATACAGTAATTTCACATATACAGTTGAAGTCAGAGTGATTAGCCCCTGTTTATTTTTTCTCCCAATTTCTGTTTGCCGGAGAGAAGATTTATTCAACACATTTCAAGGCATAATCATTTTAATAACTCGTTTCTAATAACTAATTAATTTTATCTTTGCCATTAAGACATTAAATAATATTTGACAAAATAATTTTTAAGACACTTCTATACAACTTAAAGTGACATTTAAAGGCTTAACTAGGTTAATTATGTTAACTAGGCAGGTTAGTGTAATAAGGCAAGTTATTGTATAACGATAGTTTGTTCTGTGGACTATAGAAATAAAAATATAATATAATATAATATAATATAATATAATATAATATAATATAATATAATATAATATAATATAATATAATATGTCCTTAAAATTGGGTTTAAAAATGTATTACTGTTTTAATTCTAGCCAGATAAAACAAATAAGACTTTCTTCAGAACATTATCAGACATACTGTAAAAATGTACTTGCTCTGTTAAACATCATTTGGGAAATATTTAAAAAAGAAATAAAAATTACAAAGGGGGGCTAATAATTCTGACTTCAACTGTATACAAACTTACTCAAAGCAGCTGATTGCAAATTTGCAGTCAGTATAATAAATAAACTTATTCTATGGTTACACCTTCCATAACACTACCTCTGAGTTTTTACTTTTACTGCCATTTTTGTTTGGAAATGAGATGGTGCTCCATGTGAGTGTGGATGAAAGTAAACAGTGACATCTGAAAACGGAGGTGTGACTACTGATATTTTGCCCCCTCAATGGGTATTATGAGCCATTGCTAGGGCCTGACAGAATCTGCAGACATTTAGATATTTCTGCGCATAATTATAAAAATATTCTGCAAATTTGTGGAATGATTTTGATAGTATAGTAACTAATAACTTCATTCATTCATGTTCTTTTCGGCTTAGTCCCTTTATTAATCTGGGGTCGCCACAGTGGAATGAATCGCCAATTTATCCAACATATGTTTTATGCAGCGGAAGCCCCTTCCAGCCACATCCCATCACTGGGATCCATACACTCTCATTCACACACATACACTACGGACGTTTAAGCTTACCCATTTCACCTATACTACATATGGGGAAAACCGGAGCACTCCGAGGAAACCCATGCCAACACTGGTAGAACATGCAAACTCCACACAAAAATGCCAACTGACCCAGCCAAAGCTCAAACCAGCAACCTTCTTGCTGTGAGGTGATTGTGCTACCCACTGCACCACCGTGAAGCCCTAACTAATAAACTAAAACAAAATATATTTCTTTAAGTTACAATTTATATATAGGGTACTTTGGAATGACGATAAAATAAACAGTTTTCAATAAATGTACTGTTTTTAATCAAAGACCTTTTTTCTTTGATTCTATTACTATTTATTATTTTATTTTATTTTTTATTTTAAGGGCAACATAAAAAATATGGGTCTTCAACTGTTTAGATTTTTGTTATTTTACATTTATGATTCATTATGTATAGTAGGGCTGGGAAAAATTGCAAAAAAAATATCATGATGTCATGTTTCATATCATTTGATAATTGTTAAATATTTTTACAATCCATTTAGGAATATTAAGATTTTATTTAACCACTTTATTTTAATTTACCAACATCACTAAGACAAATAGTTTTAACAGTCAAAAACAAAAATATTCCAACAAAATATCTGATCTCTTAATAATAAAGTAAACATAAGCATTAAAGAAACTCAAACTTGATAAATAAAATGTTACAAAGTGCGTTCAATGGTGAAGTGTGAACACTGAACAATCAAAGCAAACTTTAGGGTAGATCAACAGCTATACCGTGTAAATATTAATGATAATGTAAACCTCAAACTCCAAACAAAACCAATTTACAATCTCTTCACTGCTGCTAGCCACAGCACTCGTTTTTGCATATGTTGTTATTCTGACCTGAAGTGACAAGCATGTGTACGTGGTTTTCTTGATCACTTACAGTGGAATTTACAAGAGACGCCAGGGGAGCGTGAGCGCAACTAGTTGACCACCACTTCCTCAGAGAATGACAAACAGGCAAATCATTGCTGAAACTCTGATCAAGTTTATGAAGAAAAGTAAAAAGCACTGCAGTGTTTGTGTTCGCTGTGTGTGTCTGAGGTAATTAGTCTACTGCAGACTTTTTTTCAAGTACCACCTCAGAGAAAAAAATGTCTCTTCAAGTACTACCATAATGACGAGGCAGACTAATTCCTATGATTAAGAATATTTATTATTGTCAGGCACTTTTAACATTATAAATAGTTTGAACATCAACACTGTACTGTGCTTATAGGTAAAACATAGCCTTTTCATCAATACCTGTATGAATATAGGCTATATGTAGGGCCAGACAGAATCTACGGACGTTTTTAGCTATTTCTGCAGAGAATTTTGATAAAAATCTGTGGATTTCTGCGGAATTATTTTGAGAGTATCATAACTAAAACCTTAATATGTGAAATAAAAATGATATATTTTAAACTTTTATTTAATGTTTAAAATGCAAATCCAATTATATTCACTTTATTTGGTAAACAAAGCAAGTCTCTCATATATCTATTAAAAGAAAGAAAATATTACTGTACAAACTGCATTGTACATAAATCAGATGAACATTTTCATATTATTCAATATAGTCAATAATATTTCTGTAATCAATTTAAAAACTGAATAAATTTAGATTTACACACATTGACATAAGTAAATAAACAGAATTAATGATGAGCTAATATCTGCAGAATTCTGCGTGCGCAGATTCTGTGTGGGCCTATCCATATGTCATCATATTCATAAATAAACCCGTTTTGATAAATTTTGAAATATGTTTCATGTATATGACATTTATATATTTATTTATATTTTTATTTTTGTCTTAAATATCTAAACATTAACTTGTATTTTAAAATAAATGATTTGGAATTAGATTATTAAATCCTATACAGTACGTGTGTCAAAAAAGTGAATGATTATATACACCAATACATTGCTTGACCAATTTATACGCGATTTATCTATTCATACATGTGGAATTTCTGTGATTTGAGATCTCATCTTAAGTGGACCATGGAGTTTGTGTTAATCACACAGAGACTATCTTTAATTAATTATGTTCTAGCTACAAGCTTTAAGCATGGCAAAGTTGCTTGAGTCTATGTTCTGTGTCCCGCAACATTTGAATCACATCAAGATAAATTAGCCTAAATCTCACGTAACAAATTAGTCGAAAGCCATGCAGCTTTACTTTTAATATAAGTCTTTTGTGTCTCCAGAATGTGTCTGATAAGTTTCAGCTCAAAACACCCATCAGATTTTTTATTATACCTTTTATAAGTGTCTTTTTATTCTTTTCCTAATCGGGTAGCATTTTTTTTTGTACTGCGCCTTTAAGGCTAGTCGTCCCCGCCCACATATCCAAACTTCATACCGAATGTTTTTTGATTGATATTGACAATGGTGTTTGGTCAATAAATATTGAGACTGATTTTATCGCCCAGCAGTAATATATGGCATTTTACCAATTGAAAAGATTTAGTAACAGTAACATGAGAAGCTCTCAGCCACTTTCAGTTTTTAAAAAGTAACTCTCATATGAAATAAAGTTGGAAACTCCTGGTCTTTGGTTGCATGATGCACGTTTTCTATTTTTATTTATTTATTTTACTCTTTATAACAGTTTTCAAATTAGCACAAAAAAGTCTTCATCTTTAATCATATTATTTAATCAAATTGTTTTACACAAATTGAATAAATAAAGTTAAATAAATGGGCGATGCAGTGGCGCAGTAGGTAGTGCTGACAGCAAGAAAGTTGCTGGCTCGAGCCCCAGCTGGATTAGTTGGCGTTTCTGTTGGATTTTGTATGTTCTCCCTGCGTTCACATGGGTTTCCTCAGGGTGCTTCGGTTTCCCCCACAGTCCAAAGACATGCGTTACAGGTGAATTGGGTAGGCTAAACTGTCCGTAGTGTATGAGTGTGAATGAGTGTGTATGGTTTCCCAGAGATGGGTTGCAGCTGGAAGGGCATCCACTGCGTAAAACTTATTCTGGATAAGTTGGCGGTTCATTCCGATTTGGTGACCCCGCATTAATAAACGGACAGCCAAAAAGAAAATGAATGAATGAATGAAGTTAGATAAAATATATAATTTTTAAAAATCCACCCGAACTAGATTCACCAAATAGAATAAAAAATATACATGATGTACATTTTCTAGTGTGGACTTAGAGCTTTTCAGAATCGCTAGATAAAGCGCCAATGTGGATGTGGATCATTTTTTTTCTAACGCAGCATTTGTTTTTTTTTACTAATACACAATAATTTAAGAAGGACTCATACACATGAACTAAATAATTGCATCTTTGATGCGGTACAGTTTAAAGTTTAATTGAGGAGTATAAAACATTTTAATTTAACAAATGAATTGCCTCCATTCAGTTAGAAACGTACTGTACTGTACTATACTATGGGGTTTAATTCGTTAACTGTAAAAAAAATAAAATAAAATAAACAATGTTTTTTGCTAAGATTAAAATAAAATATACTAAATTACAATTACTCTGTTGAAACTATTATATATTTTACAAATTTTAAATACTCATCATTATATCTATTTTTAGGATATATGCTAATATAGCAAAGCTAACCATAGCACACATGTACTAATATAGCAAGTTAGCTATACCACACATACTGTATCAGCATAGCAGTCTTAACATTCTGTGGCCAAAGAACATGCGCTGAATTTACATGCAATGTGAACAGACACTGATCTCTGTGCCCGTATGACTGACAAAACCACAAACAAGCAGTGGTGTTTGCAAATGCAGTTTCATTTTGGAGCCACCACTCACTTGGTTTTACAAAAGACTGTTTCTTTTCTATTTGCTCAATTCAGATGTTCTCGGAGGAGTATATGATGCTGATGGTGATGGAGACTTTGATGTACAAGATGCTAAGGTTTTGTTGGGTGAGTGCAATTGACTTTTTTTATGTGGCTTTTTAGTGCAAGACTGTGTTTCTGTTTCTTTCAGCCTTAAGGAAGTGGGCTAAACACGCTTTTCCTGTGTCACTACAGTATGTTGGTACTCTGAACTTAGTCAAATGTGTCTGCATATGAGGTTTCCTGTCATTTGATGTTGTTAGCAGATATTTTCCATGTATCTAAATAGTCTTGTCTTTGTGAAGCTGTGCATGAATCAGCTACTGCTTTCTATGGTAAACACAAATTCTATGGTAACTGTGCACACATTTACAATTGACCTGATATGCTTTTCGCAGTGAGGTTCTCACTATTGCACAGTGTGAGCTACTAGTTTTTCCACTGTCAGGTCATTGCTTAACTTTTTCAGTACTAGACTGTTACAGATGGTTTAATTTTTTCTCTGTATATTTATAAAAAATTTGTTATTTTTACACTGCTTAATATATAAGAGTATTATAAATGAGGATTCCTTTATATATATATATTAGGGCTGCACGATATTGGAAAAATCGGACATTGCGATATTTAATTTTTCTGCAATAAATATTGCCATATGATGTATATATCATTTCACCAGATAAACAAACTGCTATTTAGAAAGGATTTATTGGAGTTATTCAGTGGGGAAGCCAATTATGCATGAAATGTAATAAACAAAATACAAGCTTAGACAAATACAAAAGAGCAAAGACAGTAGTGGGCTAGTAGTATTTTATGGCTTTCAGGGCAGTCAAATAGTATTTAAAGTACAGAATGTGAGTAATCAATGTAAAATAACACTGCAAAAGGCTTTACTGTTTAAATCATTCAATAAAAGTATTCTTATATTCTTATAAGTTTCCGAATAATTTGAACTCTATCAGGGATTAAAAACGTGCAAATGATACAGTTTCACTCTAATATGTTTAAACTTTGCAATAACTTCACAATGTTCTGAACTCTTGGTCAACTATATTCATAACTCAACATTTCATATACTCTGACTATTGTGGAAGTGCTCATCCCGATATTGATGCTAAAACAATATATTGTGCAGCCCTAATTTTTCACCATTTCTCTGTGAACAATTTATTTGTTTATTTGTATAAATTTTTATTCATTTATTTTTTGCATTTAAACAAAAGAGTTTTATTAAACTGATATATACTAAGTAAAATAAGAGTTTAGTTTAAACTTGCATTTAAATTCAAAAAAGTTAAAAAATAAAAACAAAAAATATATATATTTATGTGTGTATGTTTCTTTTGATTATTCAAGTTTATTAATGTTATTCAGTGTTGTTCCTCAACATATTAAATTGGGTGTACAAATCTTTGGAATATGATTTTTTTTATTTTTAATTTAAAAGTAACCATATGATCTTGCTAGCTCACATTACCAGTTTTGTGGTGAACAATTCATCTGTGCATGTCATTAGAAAAGAAAATTGTTTGCCTTTGTAATCATTAATTTTAATCTGATAATGCAAAGTACAGGATTTTGAGGTAGTGGGCGTGGCTGATATACTTAACCATGCCCATGACAACAAACAGAAATGGTGAGCAGGAGTCTGCAATAACTCTTCTAAAACCCCTTTCCTAATCTTTCTGAATAAAACGCCTACTTTACTACATCCATTTAGCCCGCGGTAGAAAAAACAAGCCAAGCCCACTGTTTACTCATTTCAAATTCTGTCTCTGTCACAATACAAAAAAAAATGATCACAGATTTCGGCTCATTGGGACTTTAATGTTTCAGATCAATAAGCACATTTAAATATTAGTCAAAGATAACACAAGGAAACAGATTGCTTTTGTTTTAGATTTTTGTTTTTAAAGGAAAACTAAATACAAAAACCACATAGCCATGTGTAAAAAAAAAAAAAAAAAGGTTTAGAATCATGAATTCTGCTGTGTTCAAAAATATCCTAAAGGAGACTATCCCGCCATCTGTTAGTGTCCTTAAGCTGAAGCAAACTTAGGTTATGTAGCAGGACAATGATTTAAAGCACAACAGTAAGTACTATTTTAAATTGACTTTGGAGCGGTCTAGTCAAAGTCCTGATGTGAATCTAATTGAGATGCTGTGGCATGACCTTAAAAAGGCAGTTCATGCTTGAAAACCCCCCAATGTGTCTGAATTACAACTATTCTGCAACGATGAGTAGGCCTAAATTCTTCCTCATTGCTGTAACAGAATCTTTGTAAGTTGATTCATTGCGATTCATTGTTGCTGCTAAGAATGGCCCAACCAGTTAATAGGTTTAGAGGGCAAAGACTTTTTCACAAAGAACTATGTAGTTTTGCACTTTACACTACTATATACAGTATCTAACCCTTTTCAACAATAGAATTACTTTCTAACTTTTTTAAATGCAGTAATTGTTTTAGTGAAAAACAATACTGCTGGTGGATCTCGAGTAAAGATCAACCTGCACCTGCAGCAAGTACATATTCTCTAGGTCATATCTCTTGGCTTTATGTACCATCTGTTGAAATGTTTCTCACAGTTGTTAATGCACGATGTCATCAAGCGTAGGAGTTATGATCATGTAATATGATTGACAGATCAAGAACAAATGAGTGCTTTCTGACTTCTAACAGATGCACATGGAAGAAATGCACTGTGATCTGTAAGCTATTTTTTAGCTCTGCAAGGCACACGTTTCTGTGGATAATTTATACAAATGATACTCAGTATTTTTAAATACAAATTTAAATACAAAAATTCAACATGAGAATAAATCTGTTCTGAGTAAGATAACAATGATAATGAGAGAATCCATTCTCTTTTCTTCTCTTCAGCATTTACACTGATTTTCAAACATCAGCAACAAGTTTTGCAAAACAGCAGCAGATTCCTTGTAGTGATCTAAAGCTCAAAACTGGATGAACTGCACTTTTTTGCTTGATAAAAGATAAACATACTGGCCAGAATAACTTGTGGTATGTGGTATGAATACTGTAGTTCTATAGCGATCTGTTCATCTGTTCACCCATAAAAGGAATATTAGCTTATTACAGTGCTGATAGAAAATTATCATACCACTTTGAAATGGTTGTTTTATCTGTCAAACTGCCTGAAATCAAACCACATTTCAAACAACTTGTACAGATTTATTTACAATTTTGGTCTTACAACATTTAACCAGTGGACAGAAAAGCACTACTACTTCTTCAAACTAATTCACATGAGTTTTTTTTTTTATAAAAGTTGATTTCTTGCAACAGAGCAAGTTTGCTTTACCAAACAAGGCATTTTACTTATTCATTTTGATTAATTCTTTGGAATGTATTTAAATGATATTTTACATTAATGATTATAAGGATTATAATGTGTACATGCAGCTAAAATAAGCTAAAATTAATTACATTTTCCAGGGTGCAATGTGAGAAAAGCTATACTGTAGGTTTTCATAGAGTATGAGAATTTTCTTAAGGCACTGTAACTACTCAACCATCATTTCGTCCCATTTCACTGAGACCTTTGTTCTTCTTTAGAACACAAATTAGGGTATTTTAGATAAAAGTTCACCAAAGTTCACTTAAAGTTCGAGGGCTCCCTCATCCTCCATAGACGGTGACTTCAGTGGTTCAACAGTAATCATACTAAGCTCTAAGTACACTTTTGTTTTTACCAAAAAACTGTAAAAAGAAAAAAAATTATCTACAAAAGTCTTTAAGTCAAGAGCAGTGAGTGGATTTTGTCCTTTTGTTGTTTGATTAATAATAAAAACAGCAGCAGGAATATTGCACGCTGTCACTAAGAATAGTGCGGCTCCGATATGGTTTCTCTTTCACGTGTCTTTTGATTCTCAACTTGTTTGTTTATTACACAAATTAGGATTAATATGAATAATCACTAAACACCGTGCATGTATTTGACCATTAAAGCGCTCGCATTAAGATGGCGTTAGATGTGCGTGTGCTCTGCTGTCCGAGGCTAAGCATGGACCACGCGCAACACAGACACACAAACACACACACAATACCTGTCTGAGGCTAAACGCAGCCCGCACACACACACACACAACAGCACGTGCTCTTTTGCGCTTTTTAAAAATATGAATGATGCGCATCCCATGCTGCAAAAGTTACATTACAGCACATCTTTCAGTCACTTTCACGTGGAACTGGAAAGGAGGCGGTACATGGAGTAATTGTTTATCTCGATTAATGTTTTTTCACAATCGTAAGAAGCCGTAATCGAAATTGAAACCGGATTTTCGATTAATTGCACAGCCCTACCGTCTAGTGCGCTTATACTGCATAAAAATAGAAAAGTGTTCTGTCTACATCAACATGAACAGTTTAAACACAGGAGTTCATGAGTAGTTAATGAGTAGTTAATAGTAATGTGCCTCTCTAAGTAAAGTCATGACATAATAATTACAGCTCATGAGTTCCTATTTTTTACATTTAGTTTAAATTTAAATGTTAATACCCTTATTTCACGCAGCTGCCATTTTAAAACACGAAAGCAAGATTTTGGTGGGAAGAAACCCGGAAGTGTAGGATCAACACTGTAAACATTGCAATAACATAGTGTGGACTACAAACCTCCAGCTGTTGCTGCGATTTCAAAATGCAGATGTGGTGCAAACATCAATTTAATATAATTCAGTTCAGTTTAGTTTAATTTAAACATTTTAAAGCATATTAGGCAATAAACAACATTATAATCTCTTTAAGAGTCATATTCTTAAGTGTCCTCCTAGGCTTCAGTTCATGGCAGCAGGTACACACCACAACGCTGATTTGCCACAATATTCACCTGTTTAAAATAAATTAAATGAAATTGGCTGCGAAGGTCATCAGTATACCGCTCTTCACAGGTTGCAAACACAGATAGACAAACATTGGAATGTTTTAGAGTCATAAGGATCAGTCGATTCATCAGCAGATCGCTCGTCTGTGTTTGCAGTCTGTAAACATCAGTGAAGTGTGGTGAACTGATGACTTGCACGGCCAATAACAGTAATTTCTGTTGAGCACTTGAACACAATGGCAAATCAGCTGTGTTTAAGAACGCCATCAACATTGCTTAAATGTTAACGGGAAATGGACTTTTTTTTACGGTTCAGTACCGAAATTTTGTATTGTGACAAGTCTAACATAGTGAAAGAATCAGTTTATTAACTTGAGTTTGATAAATGGAATCTAAAACATGTGTTTGGGAAAGAAAACATTAGCTAACTAGCGCCATTTGCCTTAACTAGGCTGGAAATGGGGTCCAATATCCTTTTTTATTTTCACTATTCATTCAGAACCGACCTTCAGGTCACTCTGAAGGCGGTGAAATGATAAATTTGTGTCACTTTTTCTTTGCTGTTAATATGCACAACATTCCTGTTTGACTTTCTCTGTGATACTTCAGAGTTGCTTCCCTCCGCAGCCTCGATTTCACTGTTTAAAATGGCGGCCATGTGAAATCAGTCTATTCATACATTAAATACAACATGTGCTAGCGAATTATTAAGGAAGCCGTTATTTACACACAAACTCTAGTGAGCCATGTTGTAGTTTTTTATTTATTTATTTACTTATTTATGTATTTATTTATTTATTTTAATTAGCTTTTGGTATGCTCATAAGCAAGGCCTTTGCTTTTGATATTGGTGGGGAATCTGGGGACCTATGAATCTCTTGCTGCCACCATCTACACTTACGTGTGTCAACCTTTTCACACACCTTATTCTTGCAAGGTAAAATCCCCCTGCAGTTTTGGCGCTGCATACATCTGAAAGTAGCTACAGCCACTCACATGACAGCACTGGAAGACACAACCAAGCACATTGTTCATATGTGTTTTGGGTTGGAAGGACTTGAGTAGAATATGGGATTTAACCGTTTATGCATGTCTAGGTTAATGTTGACAGAGTAAATTTTATTTTACCTTATTTATTTTATTATGTGAATTAAATTATTGGTGGCGACAGTTCAATAGTCGGTGGATATTGGTGGGCACATGTCCCTCCTGTCCATGCTAATTCTAACAACATAGGCTTATTCTGTAAATGGAACCCTATATAGATTCCTGGAGATTGCGATTTATGTAGCCAGAAGTACGTATGACTGCTTACCTCTGTATAAACGCAGAGAGTTGACTAAGCTATTGGGTTCGAGTCCGGTCAAGACCGTTCCAGAAAGCATGTAAGACAAAAAATAAAATAAACAATAAATAACAGGGTGAGAATATGGTAAAACATGAAAACGTGGTAAAAAAAAAAAGATTAGGGCTTTTCTTTTTCTTGATTGCCTTTCAAAACACTTTCAGTTGGGTCTAGAGAAGTTGGTAGGTGGTGGTCAATCAGTGCTTTTTAAAACAGTATCAGTTGGGTTTAGGGAAGGGGGTGGGTTGGGAGATCGGTCGGTTGGTCAGTCAGTCAGTGGATAGTGCTCTCTGGTGCATTTGTGAAAGCAAAACCTGTAAAAACATAGCTCCTGGGACTTATTTGGCACTCTTCAGTGTAGGGGTACATTTTTTAGAATGAGCCTGGGTTGACGCCCCTACTTATAAGTGAAACATGCTTCTGGTGTATTTAAAATAGTTGATTATAACAGCCTTATATCACATTGAATGGTTGTCTGTGTATATGCAAATGGGTTTTTCTATTTATTATGATTTCTCCCCTTTAGAGAATGCTACCGTCGCCAAGGAAAAAACTATAAGAAAAAATGTCACATTGGAAGGAGACAGTATCCAAGCAGCCCATTCCAAGCTGACCTGTAAAGATTGTTTTTTTAATGGCTATAGCATGGACATTGATTTGTCTTTGTGCTTTTGGATTGTACTTAGTGTTTGCTTGCACTGAGAAAGGTGCAATAAGTTTGAGGTTGTAGCATTTGTGTATGGCATGGTGGAAGGTGTCCACTGGTGTGCTGTTTGAGGTCTTTGAAGAAACTTGACTGAAATGGATTCATGAGACTAGAGTGCAGTGGTTAAAATTAGTTTTGAAATAGTTAATGCATGTATTAACGTGAACTAAGATTAAACAATACTTGTACGCAATTAATTAATCATGGTTCAACAGTTACTAATGCATTAGTAAATCCAAAGTTGTGTTTGTCAAAGGGATAGTTCACCCGAAAGTGAAAATGCTGTCATCATTTACTCACCTATTACTTGTTTTAGACCTTTATGAGTTTCTTTTTTCTGTCGAACACAAAAGAACCACTGACCTCTTTAGTATTTGTTTGTCCCAGTATGGAAGTCAATGGTTAAAGGTTTCTTTAAAATATCTATATTTGTCTTCAGTGGCAGAAAGAAACTTATAAAGGTTTGGAGGGTGAGTAAATAGTGAGTCAATTTTCATTTTGGGGTGAACTATCCCTTTACCATTAGTTAATGCACCGTGAGTTAACAAAAACTAATAAACATTTTTAGTTAATTAATGTTAACAAAGATTAACAAACACTGTAATGTATTGTTCATTATTTGTTCATGTCAGCAATACATGCACTAATATTATGTAACGGAACCTTTTAAACCGCTAACAAGTTTTCTTTTGGTTTTTGGTTCTTCAGTTTAGATTTATCATTTAGGATTCTGCTAATGGTTGTTTGTACACAAAAATGTATTAATCAACTGTAAAGGTTTGTTGTTCTGAGCATGTTTTCTCTAATTTGTTAAGTGCGACATTTGCTTATTTTGCATCTAAACCGAAGTGCTTTTTATAATTGACATTTTTTTCTCTTTCTGTGCAGATGAGAGAGTTAAAGAAGTTGGGTTAAAAAGAGAAGGAGGTACTTAGCATGTGTTCTGGAGTTCTGGTGTAGCACAGTTAATAAGATTTAGTTAAGCTTTTCCTAGCATGTTTTAATTGCGAAAATCAGTTTTTAAAATGTCAGTTATGGGTTTCATTTTTGTTATTTGATATAATGAAAATAATACTGTAAAGAATTTTTGTCACACTGATGTTGTTACAAAACCTATATGACATTTTAAATAATATTTGAGTGTGGATGTTTGTGTGTGTGTTAGGGGTGCAACAATACAGATTGTTTACAGTTTGTGTTTGGTTTTAGGGTCACCAGTTCGATATGATTTGGTATATGAAATGTTTAGTATAAAATATAAAAAATCTAAAATCTAAAAATAGGAGATTTTTAAATTACCCACTTTGAAAGTTATAACTCAATTGAATGGGCATTATCGCATTCAATTAGTAGGCTCAGAAGGCTCAGATGGTAGGCTCAGATTGGTAGGCTCAGAAGGCTCAGATGGTAGGCTCAGAAGGCTCAGATGGTAGGCTCAGAAGGCTGTTCAGTTTTTACATTACTGTGACGGTTGGGGTAGACGTTAATAAAACACAATTAATAGGAAATTTAAGAAATAAAACTTAATAACTTTTGTTAATTTCCTGCCGCAGCCGTATGTGATCTAAAGCTGATTACATTTACATTTACATTTAGTCATTTAGCAGACGCTTTTATCCAAAGCGACTTACAAATGAGGACAAGGAAGCAATTTACACAACCAAGAGCAACAATGAATAAGTGCTATAAGCAAGTTTCAGGTCTGTAAAGTCTAAGAAGGGAAGTATTAGTAGTATTAGTATTTTTTTTTTTTTGTACAGTTAGTGTGATAGCCTATGTGGATGGATGATAACAGCCCTCTGAGCCTACTAGTAGATGCAGAAGCCCCCTACTGGCCTATATTTATCTGCTGATAACCACTGATAACGTCCATTCAATCGTGTGATAATATTCTAATTGGCTGGTCAAATAAAAAAATATACAATTACATGCAAAAAATGAATACAATATTGAATACACAAGTCAGGTACATTGACACAAGTATTCATCGTTATTTAGCTTTTTTTGTTGAGAAGCAAGATTCTTTTGTTGAGAAGCAAGACTAACTTTTATTCTCCTGTTCAAATAAAGCACTTCTTAAATATCCCTCGGAAGTTCTCTTTTCACTTTGAGGTTCAATGTTTAAATAACAAAAGCTTATAAAATTGGTTTAAAGAGGAATAGTGCCATGGGCTTCTGGTCCCATGTGAGCTCACTTGCTGACATGCGGTACACATCACTTTCACATTTACATGAAAGTGTCCCTAACTTTAGCTCTCCCTGATGGGACATTTACTCGTGGGGAGCTATGTTTCAGCCCATGGACATACACTTACCGGACACTTTAGTAGGTACACCTGTCCAACTGCTCATTAATGCAAATTTCTAATCAGCCAATCACATGGTAGCAACTCAATGCATTAAGGCACGTAGACATGGTTAAGACGATCTGCCGTAGGACAAACCAAACATCAGAATGAAGAAGAAAGGTGATTTAAGTGACTTAAAACGGGGCTAGTCGGAGTGTTTCAGAAACTGCTGATCTACTGGGATTTTCACACACAACCATCTCTAGGGTTTACAGAGAATGGTACGAAACAGAGAAAATATCCAGTGAGCAGCAGTTCTGTGGGCGCAAATGCCTTGTTGATGCCAGAGGTCAGAGGAGAATGATCAGAGTGGTTCAGTAACTCAAATAACCACTCGTTACAATCAAGGTATGCAGAAGAGCATCTGTAAATGCACAACACGTCCATTCTTGAGGTGAATGGGCTACAGCAGCAGAAGACTACACTGGGTGCCACTCCTGTCAACTAAGAACAGGAAACTGAGGCTACAATTCTTACCAAAATTGGACAATAGAAGATTGGAAAATGTTGCCTGGTCTGAGTCTTGATTTCTGCTGCGACGTTTGGATGGTAGAGTCAGAATTTGGTGTCAATGACATGACAGCATGGATCTATCCTGCCTTTTATCAACAGTTCAGGCTGCTGGTGGTGGTTTAATGGCATAGGGATATAATGGGGATATTTTCTTTTTACGCTTTGGGCCCATTAGTACCAATCAAGCATCTTCTCAACACCACAGCCTACAGTACCCGAGAATTGTTGCTTACCATGTCTATCTCTTTATGACCACAGTGTACCCATCTTTTGATGGCTACTTCCAGCAGAATAACACACTATGTCATAAAGCGTGAATCATCTCAGACTGATTTCTTGAACATGACAATGAGTTCACTGGACTCAAATGGCCTCCACAGTCACCAGAACTAAATCCAGTAGAGCGTCTTTAGGATGTGGTGGAACGGGTGATTTGCATCATGGATGTGCAGTTAAAAAATCCACAACTGCGTGATGCTATTATGTCAATATGGACCAAAATTTCTGATGAATATTTCCTGTTGCTTGTTGAATCTATGGTACAAAGGTTTAAGGCAGTTCTGAAGGCAAATGGGGGTCCGACCCAGTACTAGTAAGGTGTACCTAATAAAGTGGGCGGTGAGTACATGCAAAGAGCCAGTTCATAGAGTAATTAAAGAAATGGGGAGAACCCAAGATAAGAAATGGGGAGAACGCCCAAAAAAGAATGAAGTTTCCATGTCTATCGAACCTCGAAGGTCGTATCAATTTGTTTAGATTTTTATAAGTATTGTGACATCCTTAGTGGGTAATATCTACGTGTGTGTGTGTGTGTGTGTGTGTGTGTGCGCGCAATTTTAAGGAATCAACATTTTTCCTGTTATTTTTTGTTGTTTTGTCTGTGTACACACTGAAAGGAATTTGTTTTTGGTAACAGCATATACCAAGGCTGTGTGATTAATCTTAATTAAAGTGCTAATGAGATTTTAGCAAAGCTGCAGTTGTCATGCATATCTTGTCAGGGCAAAACAGTTGTGTGATCATTACTAAATCTTCTTCATAAGACACACACAGAAACTCCAAAACCCCATAAAGTGATATAGGAAACTCATTTTAAGGGCTTCATTAATTCAGCGTGACAAATAATCATGTAATCAAGTAACCATTGAACCATCTCATAAAAGGATTTATTTTAAACACTCGACTGACTTTGTAGTCAACCCTTGTTATATGGGATTTTCAAGTGCAGCATTAGCCGTAATTCCCTTTCAGGTTGGGAACTCCAACATTGTTAAAATCATTGCAGGGATTTGCCAGATGACCAATCACTCTGAAAAGTAAAAAAAATAGGCCAATGAATGCCTATGAATTGGCAGAGAAGGTCCTACACCAGTTGAGTATATAGCAAAAAGCTGAGACCTAGAGTTTCAGTGGCTGCATCGAGTAGGGTGACAAAGCATTCAGCCAAGCATTCAGCCGTTCCTGGGTGTTTTACTGGATGCGCATAAAGAGTCACTGCAAGGGCATGACTGTTGCTCAGTTAAGATCACGTCTTGCACTTGTTGAGCTGTCATGTTCAGAGGGAAGTGTGAGTCTGCCACTCTCTCTGGACCAAGGACCGGGACCCTGGACATGATAACTATGCTTTTCCATGTAGATTTGGTAGTTGGTTTGGAGGTGGTCCTCCAACTCAGCAGCCGGACCCAATAGAGGGGTGTGATATGAAGCAAGTCTCCTGTCCCTCTCTTCCCGGTGGTAAATAAAGAGTTCATACAGGAGGGTGTTTTTCTCCACTTGGTTCTCGAGCCCCCACTCTCACCTTCCTTGACTGTGGGGTGGCCCTGTGTTAAAGCTATCACCCAAGTGGAGAGTGAAATTACAGGACTGCTGCATGTCTGGGACGCACCGCCTTTCAGCTCACAAACTCGATGTACCCTGCCATAGCTCAGACTCCATTCTCTCATGCCTCCAACCCCCCAGTGAGATCCTGAGAAAGAAGTGAGGGCCCGTCTTCCAAAGAAAGCACTCCCCATCCTGGGTTGCACTGGTGATGCATCAGCGATTGTTCCAATGATTCTGTCTTCTGTTGCGCCACTTCGGCTCAACTAGACCTGGGTTTCAGAACTCACACTCCTTGCGATGGCCCTCCCTGGCACATTTTTCTAAGGATGGACTCGCTTTCTCAGGGGTGGATCAGCACCCAGATATCTGAAACCATAAACAGACGTGGAAAAACTTGGGTGATCTACTGAGACAGTTGCTCAGGCTAGATCACCCTCAAAGAGTTATGCCTACAGCCTGTAGTAGCAGAATCTATTCGTTGAAGGGTTTGTTTCTCCCAAGAAACTCCATAAGATCACTCCCGGACCAGTGTTGTGTTTTCCTTCCTTTAGGAAGAGCTGGAGCAGAGTCACTCTGCATTGAAAGTCTATATTGCTCCAGGTGGTGGCACCCTAGAAGGCATAACCTGGTAAACTGATTCCTCAGTTGTGAGGCGGCTAAAAATGTACCCATCCACCTCTCATGCCCACTTGGGATTTCTCTGTAGTCTTCTCATGACTGCAGAGAAATCCATTTTTACCACTAAACTCAGTATATTTAAGAGTTTATTTGATTAGGACAGCTTTGATGGTCACACTGGCTTCTATTAAGCGAGTCGGGGACCTGGAGGCATTTTCAGTCAACAAATCTTGCCTGAAATTTGGGCCAGTTATGTTATCTGGAGACCCTGGCTCGGCTATGTGCCCAAGGTTCCAACCACTCATTTTAACACCATTTTAAAACCTAGCAGGGAACTTGCAAGTGCTGCCACTTCTTTGCTGTGTCCTGTTCGTGTTCTGCGATTATTTAAAAAAAAATTTTTATTATTATTATTTTATATAGCACTTGGTCCCTTTTTAACAGATATCTGTAGAGCTGCATGCTGGCACATTTGCAAGATTTTAGAACTCTTTGGCTGGAGCAGATTTCCTCCCGATTGTTGGATAAGGCCAGTCAGTCAGAAGTAAGCAAGGCTCTGTGTTGAAAATTTTGGCTGCAGCATTCTTCTTAACCCCAAGATGCATGCACTTAATCACCTTTGCTAGTAAGTTTCACATCTGGTGAACCCTAAAGCCTGATTTATACTTCTGCGTCAGGTGACCGGCGTAACCCACGGCGTAGGCAACGCGGGTGGCTGTGCATTTATACTTCTGCGCGCTGTCTCTGTTGGTCTGCATTAACACTTCTGAAACGCTAGTGGGCAGTGAGGTGTTAATGGTTCTCTGTGTCGAGTTTCTTCGCGGCTTTTTTGCTTTTCCTGAACACTTCCGGGATGTACAAGTGGCTTAAACTCGCTCATTTTGAGGCAGGAACCGGCGGACGTGCAACAACTTTAACTATGAGGTAAACACAAAACAAAACTTTCCATCCGGAGCTCCTTCACGGGACTCCCCACCTGTAAACAATCGCTCGCGCCATTCACGCGGCTCTCGGTCCCACCTAGACTCGTCAGCGCTACCAAGCCACACCAATCACAGAGCTTACGCTACGCGTCGTTGCGACGTGTAGTTACATTTTTTGAGAGGTGCACGTCAGTGACGGCCACGGCGACGGGCTATGTGTCAGCGCCGTAGCATACGCCGGCGTTTGACACAGAAGTATAAATCAGCCTTAAGGAGTTCCTTCAAGGCCCCCAACATCTGACTCGGAGGAGGATCTGGATGTTTGGCCCATTATATTGTCTGGGTTGCCTGTTTGGTCAACCCGCATTTTGGCAATCAGGGCCTGTTATGTGCATCCCCACTTGGTGATGTCATATGCTTAGTCAGCCACTGTGAAGTCCCCCTCACAGGCTGGACCTTGTCTTCCCCAACAGCTAACCACCCTGCTCATATGTTTTGCTCCCCCTGGGTTAGGGCTAGGAGGGAATGGAGGCATTACGTTTCGGTGCCACAGTTGCAGAATGACCTGCTGAAAGCTAGTGCGATTGCCTACTTAGTGCATAAGTCTCACAGGAGCTTCTTCTGGTGCTGTTATATAATTAGCTGATCAATGAGCAGCCTCACCTGGAAAAGAGATTCATTCATTTGCCAATTTGTTACTCTCCAGAGTGATTGGTCATGTTGTGATTGCCCGTAATGTTTTTAACATGTCTCCATTCCCTCTTTCAGGGAACAAGAGTTTTGGCAGTTTCTGAGACGTTTATTAAAAAATTATGCAAACAGCTTTTATCACAGAGTGATTATTTCAATATCTGATTAAACAAATTTCGATTTCGATTTTTTTTTTTTTCTTTATCAGTGATGTTTCAGTAAACTATGGCTCTGTGTAGTACTGACAAAATGTGCATGAAAATGCATTTGATTCACCACCCAGCTCTAGAGCATATTAAAATGTATAAATATATTCGCACAGTTTTGGCCTTATACACATGGTGCATCCCCATATAACTCCCCTATAATTACAGTCTTAAAATTGTTTGAAATGCAATCTTTGCATGGAAACCGAATGATGAGCCTTCTGAGACTTTTGTCCTACTCCTTCTCAGAACATCCGACAAGGGATATTGGGCGAAAGTTGAAAACTGCCCTCAAGGAGCAGCTGCGAATTATTCATGAGAAGATTGAAGCCAAAAAGATTGCCAAACTAGCCCTTGCTGAAGTCCGTAGTGTTTTGGCTCAAGAGGAAGAGGAGAGACAGGCTACTCTTGCGGCTAAAAAAGCCAAAGAGGAAGCAGAAGCTAAACTTAAGGAAGAACGATTTCAACGAGAACAAGAGAAGAAGCTAGCAAAGGAGAAAGCAGAGAGGGAGCGAATGGAACAAGAAAAAATGGCCAAAGAAAGAGCTGAAAAGGCAGAAAAGGAAAGACTTGACGAAGAAAAAAACGAAAAGGAAAGAATTGAGAAAGAAAAAGCAGAGAAAGAAAAGGCAGAAAAGGAAAGACTGGCCAAAGAAAAGGCGGAAAAAGAAAGAGTGGCGAAAGAGAAAGTGGAAAAGGAAAGAATTGAGAAAGAAAAAGCAGAGAAAGAAAAGGCAGAAAAGGAAAGATTGGCCAAAGAAAAGGCGGAAAAAGAAAGACTGGCGAAAGAAAAAGCGGAAAAGGAAAGAATTGAAAAAGAAAAAGCAGAAAAGGAAAGACTAGCCAAAGAAAAAGTGGAAAAGGAAAGAATTGAGAAGGAAAAGGCGGAAAAGGAAAGACTAGTCAAGGAAAAAGCAGAAAAAGAAAGACTAGCTAAAGAAAAAGCAGAGAAGGAAAGACTTGAGAAAGAAAAGGCAGAAAAGGAAAGACTGGCCAAAGAAAAGGCGGAAAAGGAAAGACTAGCTAAAGAAAAAGCAGAAAAAGAAAGACTGGCCAAAGAAAAGGCAGAGAAGGAAAGAATTGAGAAAGAAAATGCAGAAAAGGAAAGAGTAGCCAAAGAAAAAGCAGAAAAGGAAAGACTGGCCAAAGAAAAGGCAGAGAAGGAAAGAATTGAGAAAGAAAAGGCGGAAAAGGAAAGAGTAGCTAAGGAAAAAGCAGAAAAAGAAAGACTAGCTAAAGAAAAAGCAGAGAAGGAAAGACTAGCCAAAGAAAAGGCGGAAAAGGAAAGACTAGCCAAAGAAAAAGCAGAGAAGGAAAGACTAGCCAAAGAAAAGTTGGAGAAGGACAGACTAGCCAAAGAAAAGGCGGAGAAGGAAAGGATTGAGAAAGAAAAGGCAGAAAAGGAAAGACTAGCTAGGGAAAAAGCAGAAAAGGAAAGAATTGAGAAAGAAAAGGCAGAAAAGGAAAGACTAGCCAAAGAAAAAGCGGAAAAGGAAAGACTAGCTAAAGAACAAGCGGAAAAAGAAAAAATTGAGAAAGAAAAGGCAGAAAAGGAAAGACTAGCCAAAGAAAAAGCAGAAAAGGAAAGACTTGAGAAAGAAAAGGCAGAAAAGGAAAGACAAGCCAAAGAAAGAGCAGAGAAGGAACGACTTGCTAAAGAACAAGCGGAAAAAGAAAAAATTGAGAAAGAAAAGGCAGAAAAGGAAAGACTAGCCAAAGAAAAAGCAGAGAAGGAAAGACTTGAGAGAGAAAAGGCAGAAAAGGAAAGACTAGCCAAAGAAAAAGAAAGACTGGCTAAAGAAAAAGCGGAAAAAGAAAAAAATGAGAAAGTAAAGGCAGAAAAAGAGAGACTAGCTAAGAAAAAAGCAGAAAAAGAAAAACTAGAGAAAAAAAACACAGAAAAAGAGAGACTGTCTAAGGAAAAACCAGAAAAGGAAAGGGCAGAAATGGAAAGACTGACTAAAGAAAAGAAACAAGTTGAGAAAGAAAAAGCAGAAAAGAGAAAACCACAGAAAGAGAAAGAAAGAGAAGAAAAGAGGGCATCAAAGGGAAAAGCAGAGAAAGATGTGAAGGAAAAAAAATTGAATGTACAAAAAGATGAATCAGAAAATGAAAAGGAATCAGCTGATGAAAAAAGTGCCAAGGAGGAGAAAACATCAACTCGAGGTTTACTTAAATCTTCAAGCAAAAAAGTTAAGAAATAACACTAACGTGGGAGATTTGACTGGAAATAAAAAGTATTCAGAAGGAACAACAGCATTGGGAAGTAAATAGCTAAGGGTATTTATGCTACTTACAATTTCAGTGCTGTGATGGTTTAAGCTGTTCAAAACAGTAACAGGTTTCTTTTTTTGAACGAGTGCTGTTGTGTTTCAGACACCGTTATAACAGCTTTGCCGTTGAGTGAAGAAAGGTAACAACAAAATTTCCTGCGTTGGGAATGTGACTGTGAATCAGTCGTCTAATGGGTTTTATTCAAATATACATAAATTCTCTGATTCAAATATAGTTTCATCCTGAACTGAAATGCATTCAGAAAAGTATATAAATTTGTGTTTGATACTTTTACTTAGTTTAGTCATGTTATTCTGCAATGCGGAAGTAAGCTCTTTGCTGCATTTATTTTGGGACTTCTGATTCATTCATCTACAGTAAATGGGGGAAATGACTAATAATAAATTGTAGTAATCCTTCAAAGTACTTGAAAATACCAGTTTGTTACATTAATCAGCATGACAAGCTGTTTTTATAGCTTAATATCAGTGTAAGTGAACGATCAAGGAATACTCAAGCCAATATGGCTGCACCTGCTCCAATGCGAAAAAACTAAGTTATAGAATTAGGTGTTCAATTTTTATTATCTTTTTTGGTGGTGGGGGTCCGGCCTATTGTGGACGTTTGGACCATCCTAGTGTATTTTTATTTCCCTTATCTGCCTTTACTTCTTTCAGAAAGTAATATGTGTTTTTCAGTTTGTTAGAAATGCTCAAATTCATCACACGCTGAGCATTTACTTGCACAATATGAAATCATAAATAGTTTGCTTATGAATTGAAATCAACTTTAGAGATTAACTTCTCTATTTTGTAGTCTTGTAGTATTTCTTAAAAAATGTAAATTGAAAAAAGGGAAAAAGATAAATGAAGTAACCAACATTGCACTCATTTATCTGGAATATCTTTGTGCAGTACGAAACATTTGGAGAAAAGACGTCAAAGACTTGTAGTACAATAGATATGCTTTATTTTTACCATACACAAATAAGTATTAATTTCAATGGATTTTTCACTTTTTAAATGCTGCAAAACTATATATTTTTTTGTTCAGTGAGACTGGTTGTGTTATTGTTATTAACATCTTTTATTGTAGGGGTGTAGTAAAAAGAGAAAATGAGTCTGAAGATGTTCAGTCAAGTCTTTTTTTCTCTCTTTTACAATGAATAATGATGTTGAATTGAGCATCAAGCAATATTTTAAATTAAGTAATTAATGCAATTGTTTCAGTTAAAGAGGGCCTACCATTTCCCTTTTTACAAGGCGTAAAATAAGTCTCTGATGTCCCTAGAGTGTGCATATGTGAAGTTTCAGCTCAAAATACCCCACAAATATTGTTTTATAAACCTTTGTAATGGCCCCTTTTAGGCTTTGATCCTAATTGTGCCAATTTTGGTGACTGTAGCTTTAAATTCAAATGAGATCGTATTCTTTTGCAAAAGAAGGCAGGAATACAAATGCCTATTTGTATATGCATAGTTGCATATTCAAAAACAAGACTAACTTCTTATGCTAATGAGGGAGAGGTCATTGCTAATGGGTGGTGTTTTTCACCTTTTATAACAAGTTCAATCAAAGTGTTTCTGCAGACTTCTGCAGAATTTTAATGAAGTATGATTATAAAAACTAAACTTAATACATTCTTACCATTAGAAGCAACACAGCTGTGTTTACAACCCTTATAAAAGTGATTTTTGCATTATAGGTCTCGTTTAACACAATGTCTCTTAAGTTCTACAGTGCTTTCTCATTAGCATAAGTGCAATTCTTTGTTTTGCTCAACAAACTGGTGACCATATTGAAAGAAAGCATTAATGTAGTCAAGCTGCACAATGTAGAGATGCTATAGGTGAATAGAAAAATGCAAATTCACAATAACTAACTAAATAAAAGACATTTACACATGACCATAGCCAACTTGGATCTGATTAGTAACCTTAAATCTGTTAATAGGAGTTTGAAAATTGCAATTAAATCTAAGTCACCATATATTTTGTGTTTTTGTTCCTGTATTTTATTAGATGTGCCTTAATTCATGTTCACTTACTATTTTCTCATACAGTAAGAACTGTGGGATATTAAAGTCATAGTTCATCCAAAAATAAAAAAAATCCTCACTGTTTAATCACACTCAACTTTTATGAGTTTATTTCTTTGGTTGAAACTAAAAAGCAAGACATTTTGAAAAAATAAATAAATATTGCAAACCACTATACATTAACTTCCATACAAATATATATTCAGTTGAAGTCAGAATTATTAGCCCTCCTTTTTCTTTTTTTTTTCTTTTTTAAAAATTTCCCAAATTATGTTTAATAGAGCAAAGACATGTTCACAGTATGTCTGTTAATATTTTTCTTCTGGAGAAAGTCTTATTTGTTTGATTTTGGCTAGTATAAAAGCAGTTTTAAATTTTTTAAAACCATTTTAGAGACAAAATTATTAGCCCCTTTAAGCTAACTTTTTTCGATAGTCTACAGAACAAACCATCATAAGATAACTTGGCTAATTCCCCTAACCTGCCTAGTTAACCTAATTAACCTAGTTAAGCCTTTAAATGTCACTTTTAGCTTTATAGAAGTGTCTTGAAAAATATCTAGTAAAAAAAAAAATTTACTGTCATCATGGCAAAGATAAAATAAATCAGTAATTAGAAATGAGTTATTAAAACTATTATGTTTAGAAATGTGCTTAAAAAAATCTTCTCTCCGTTAAACAGAAATTGGGGAAAAAATAAACAGGGGCTAATAATTCTGACTTCAACTGTATATTGCTGAACACTTTTGTGTGAACAGAAGAAAGAAACTCTCTGCAATAAACAAAGTATGAGTGAATGACAGAATTGTAATTTTTGGCTGAAAATCCATTTAACCCTGTGCATTTTTAAATGAACCGATAAGTGAACTCTTTTAATGTTGTATGTACTTGAATATGTTGTTTCTCTTGCCTTAATAATGTCACCAAAGACTTTGTAACGGGCAAAAAAAAAAAAAACTGTTTGGATGTTTTTCACACAGTCAGGTGCTATTAATACTTGTTGAAGTCTCACTTGCATTTCTATGGCAGTCAGCATTATACACTGAACTAACTGATCTTCAAACAGTGGTCATACGGTGCAGACAGTCTGAAAGGTCATATTTGAAGAGCACACTATTTGTCAGTCTAAATGCAGAACACATCAGTGTTGATTATTGTTTCAGTTCCTCTTTTTCTGAGCCAGTTATTAAAGAAATTAAATTAGAAAGAAATGTTCTGTGCAGCTGCAATGAGGATAAGCTTTAAAACATCTGATTTTATTACAACAGCTGGTGATGCCTTTCTCTCTCAAAACTCTGGCAAATTGTATTTTGATTGTATTTTATATTTGTGTTTGTGTATTTTGTGACATACTGAGATCTTGAGATTATTTGTAGAATCGTTTTGGTGGATATCCATTTATTAAATGAAATATTGAATGTTTTATTGAATGTTAATGAGAATGTCACGTTTAAGTTGAAGTGTGTAGTTTCTTTACATTGTGTGTTATTTATCTTGTAGCAAATACACTGAAGTAATTGTCATTGCTCAGAAAAGTCTGGGCAGCAATGCTTTGATTAGAGTGATGTTTTTTGAAGGGTAATCAGCATGTGATATTTATTACAGTATTTAACTGGAGTAGGAAGAATTACTTGAACAAATAAATGACAAACCACTTTTAATTTATGAATTGAAATGGTTAAACAGGTATGTTCACGGAAACTAACCTGTGTGGTTAAATATTTTAAGAAAGTATCAAGGAAATGTGAACTTCTTCATTATTTACAATTATACTTCTTCTGGCTAATACATGGTCTGGTTTATTTGTGTGTGTGTGCGTGTGTGTGCACGTGTGTGCGCGTGTGTGCCCGTGTGTGCGCGTGTGTGAGCGCGTGTGTGTGCGCGTGTGTGTGTGCGTGTGTGTGTGTGCATGGATGAATGATAAGGCCCTGACTTTCTTCTGCCAGTTTTTTTGTTCTTTTATGTTATACTATTTCACACATAGACAGAATTGTGAATTCAATAATCAGTGGTTCCAATATGAACCGGTAGTATGTTACATATACCTAAAGAAGGGGTTTCTCCAAATGTTCAATTCGCAACCCCCAAAATAACAATGCAGTGACTACAACTGGTGACTATACAAACATTATGCATTATGTCACACAAACACCAATAGACCTATAAAAACATGTGTATTGACAGCGCAAAAAATGCAGAACAATATAATTTTTTTTTTCGTCATTTTTGAATTTGTTTAATTTATGTTGCTATTAACTTCTACTTTTATCTTATGTAGATTATGAATAAACTATGGTAATTCTGCTAACTTATTTAAATAAACTTTTAGTTAATTAATTAATTAATTAATTTAGTTTTGAATAAATTTAATTGCATCACCAAGCACAAAGCCCCATCCCCCCCTACCCCACCTTCTGTCCTGTGACTGGATTTGATATCCACTGGCCTTAAGTGTAGTGTGTGTGACACTGTGACCATCCATTGTGGAAACCATTTTAAAAGTTATTAAACCTGTTGTGTATTTTTATTATGGGTATTATTTTTAATAATACAAAAAAAGGATGCTAGGATAGTGTCTGATTTTACTCCACTTTCATATAGGTCTGACGGGGAAGCCCGTTTTGGTGGCATCAAGAGATAAGCCCTTAGAAGAAAAAGGTAAGGAAACTAGTTTTACAATACCCAGCTGCCACATCTTGCTCTCTTTATGTGTTTGTGAGGGTTTTTATGTGTCGAAGTACACACACACACACAAACACACACTTGTATATATAGTTTTTAAGGACTCTTCTTGTACTGCATTTTAAAATGCAATGAAAAAAACAAAAGTAAAAGCCGCTTATATGATGTCATTACCTTACCCATAAAACCATCCTCACAGGAAACCTGTGACTCATCAAGTATGATTTTAAGCATTTTTATTATGAGTCAAGGACAATAATAATAATAATAATGAATTTTAGTGCTTTTTAAAACTTAATTCTCAAATCAAATAACACACAAAAACATTTACAAACAGTTTTGTTTTTGCATAAAAATAACAATATTGTTTTGTATAAAAATTAAAGTAAAACTTTCAAAATAAATAAATTATTCAATATCCAAATCATAAAACACAAAAATGCACACCTTGTGAATAAGCAAGTGTAAAGTAATGTGTTTCCAAGGATGATTTAAACAATGTAAAAGATTCTGCATGTCTAATGTTATAGTTGAGAGCGTTCTTGAGCCTCGGAGCCAGGGAGTATCCAGCAATCCAAACCTTAACACTATTGAGAATCTTTGAGATGGGCTGGAGAAGACACAACTCCCCATCATCAAATCAAGATTTTGATACTGAACCATTTACACAGTCCTACTTAACCCACAATCATAATCTCTGTTAAAAGGGCTGAAAAAAATAAAGATATTAAATGTGTCCATAATTTGGAATTGCATTTTTTAAGATAAAGGGCAATTATTCACCTAGGGCCACCCCCACAGATGTATGCCCACATTTCTGAAACAATTAAAACAAACATTATTTTGTCATGGTCATGTTGTGTAATGGGTTGTTTTTGAACTTGAAATCATACTGAGTATGCGAAATAGGCATATGATCAACTGAAGGAATTGTGGTTTCAAAGTTATTAGCGCAAAGGGGAAAAAAAATCAAATTACAGCACCACCTTGTGGATGATTCTTGTAAAAAAAACTACAAATCCAACAAATGTCATGTATGTTCATCTATCATATATGATAAATTCATATTCTAGACTGTAATTTTTAATTAAATATTTTATATTTAAAAATAATGTGTTGATGCTTACTAGATGAACTTTCAGTTTGTGTAAATGATTCTTATCTCTTTCTAATAGTCTGTTTGCAGTAAGTATTTCATTGGCACATTTTCATATTTATTAGATGATCCAAAAATTAAAGGGCTCATAAGTTCTCTGATGTCTGTAGATGCTAGGCATTACAGAAGTAACCATTTTCATTTTGTTGATGTCATTTGATGCATTTCAGAGTTACACACAGAATATCTATACATTTTATTCCCTAAAAATAGTGGTAATACAATGGGAAAATGTTGTGTGGACTGAAAACTGGTCCACGATTCACTTGGATTGATGCTTAGTTACGTGCATTGTTTGTTATATATCTGAGGAAAGACTGAATCCAAAGCGTGTAAGAAGTGAAAGGTGGAGGAGAAAAGTGGCATTAATTGAGAGATATGACATAATGGCATAGTGAAAAGAAATGTTAAATAGAAGCTCATGAACATCTTCCCTGTTTTTACTGCCCAATCAGTTTTTACTGCCCAACAATGAGCGCTATCAGACAGCAAGATGGGTAAAGCAGTTCCTTAAAGCTGAAAATTGAATTAGTGCATAGTCAGTATTGATCTAAAATTATCTTAAGTATAGGAATGTACTGAAATTTAAATTCTTGGCTGAAACCTAATAATTTAAATTACACTGATTTAAAAAATAAAACAAGCTAATAAAATAACTATATTTTATTGACAGTGAAGACTATTTGACTGAACAAATTGAGATGTGTCATTATATCAGGGTTTCCATGAAAGCACAATAGTGTACGATAGTAAATATACAGTATAATCAAGTATAATACTGTAAATAGAAATGTCCTGTTAGCGTGGACTTTACTTTTCCTGTAATATGTGCTTTGCATGCAAACAGTAGATATGTGGGTACATTGAATATCTTAAGGGCTATAATGCTATGGCTTGGGGAAACCAGTGCACTGAACACAGTTGAAGGTGGACAAAATCCAAAAATGTGATTTTCAGCCAATATTTTTGTGCATCCCTACACTGTAAAAAAAATTCTTGCTGCCTTAATTTTCAGTTGAATCAAATTAACTTTTTTAGTTGTCTCAACTTACATTTAATTAAACTGATTAAAAATATTAAGTTAAACTTTACATAACTTCAAAGGTTCAGTTAAAAACTGATTAAATTATTAAAATAAGTTAAAACAACGATTTGTGTACCATCCCTTCATTTGATTATTCCTTTAATTAGGGAAAACGAAACACCAGAAAAAGTCAATATTTCGTTTTTCTGTTTATTCTGTTGGCACGCACACAAAAAAAGCTCATCTGTTTTAGTGTTTATAACTTAAAACGAATTATTAAAAGAAGCACAAAACAAAAACTAAATAATGAGG